CTGTAACAAGATATCGTTATAAACTGGTGTATGCTCGTATCACTGCCTATGGTTTGTCTGTCATCCCATATTTTTCGAGATTTCTGGCTCAAGAGGCATCCGTTAGAGAAGACTTTTTCAAATTCCTACGCTATTAATATTCATTTTCAAACATTTCACTCCACATTCCTTTGAATTGTCGATGCTGTAATTTTCTCACCGTTTTTGTGACGATGATAAATGCTCCTGGAGTGCAATAAGCTAAGAATCCATTCATTAGGATGAACAAAGCGATTTTTGACTTGACTTGATAGTTGAAAATTCAAGGAATTTTCTTGAGTTCTGCAGGATCGAAAAACGTTGGAGTTGGTGCTTTGTCAGTTCCAACTGTAACAATCCCCTTTGCATTCCAAAATCCTTCCGCATCGTTCGTGCACCTACAATAATAATAAAGTGTTCCTGTGGTGAATAGATGTTATTACATGTTTTTATCGGATTAAACCGGTTTCATTCATTTCACTGATAATAACGTCTCGCACGATAAACAAAGCATGAACACAAAGAATTGTTAAAACTGTCAATGATTTTTTACGCGATAGCATCCAGGACGAGCGATCATCTGCTACTCCATTTTTATTATTGCGAAATCTGTGAAGCCATTCAATATGGTCGTGAAAACTAAGGGCAGTTATTTTGTAATTTTCGAATCCAGAACACTCTACATCAACTTTATTGCAGTCGGCGGAGATGAATGGAAACTGAGATGAAGAAATTCATTTCCCGAGTGGTGACTTTCAGGAAAATAGCTACCGATTTCGCGTAACAAGGAGTATAAGCACATGTGGTAGAAACTCCTCTCAATTCCCACTTTAGTGTTTTAGTCAGTGCCCAAGTCATCGCTGATATTTCAGGCCGTCGATTAAGTGAAATTCAGACCAGACTTCCGTTGGTTGTTACAGTAACATAAATGGATTGACTATACCGTGGTTTGCTTACTGAAGGTAATGACCCTCATGGTGCAACTGTGTGGGCATATACCGGTGGGAATCCTGACTGATTGTACTCACTGAGGCAGTCGAATGTTGCAATCGCCAACCTTGCTAGAGAGTAGGAGCTGCGGCTAATGCTACCGTACTGTTTCTCTTTGTTCGACGATCACCGATTCGTTTGTTGCAGGACGGCGTTTTTAGACATTTACTGTAAAGGCGGACACGATGCATTTATGAACCTGAGACTAGTGCATTAGGTGCTTCTAAAACCTGCGAGTGGATAATTGGTCATTATCCTTATGGGACTCTTTTCTCATCAAAGTCGATGAAGATTGCTAGTGAGATTCCATGCGTCATCTGCGATTATTACAGGCTAGTGTCAAAGCATATTGTAAAACTGGTAGAAATAAAATGCATTAAACTGTGAACTCAATGAAAATGTTCCCATCTTTCACGGTTCCGTCGAAGAAATGCGGCCCGAAAAACGTGCCGTGAATGATACCGGTCCGTGCTTCTACTTGGGACGGTGAAGAGATTTCGATGTATGCCAAATTACGTGTGGAAAATTCCAGTGTTGGCCGTTTGAGGACCTCGCATTACACATTGCAATAGGTTGAAGATTACAGATTCATCTAAATTTTGTTAATTGATCTGTGGTGATCTAGGCTACGTAATGAAGCGTACCCTGGAGCGGCGCTTTACAGTTTCTGTACGCATGCGATCAATCAAATTTCAAAGATAACGTCAATGACACGTGTACGGCTTCCGACTGCGGGCCATAGGCAGGTTGTGCCAGCCAATCCGAGACACTGCAGAAAGAAGCAGAATTATGCATTGTGTTTTTGACCTGGTATACTTCCAGTAGATTTAAATTGATCAGCGCCTCTGCACCGTTTCCGGTGAACAGTGTCGCGTAAGCTTCAACTTGAACTTCATTAATAGCTATTGCCTGTTCCCGTAATACATTACAATCAAAGTTAAGTGGGTAAACAAGATATTTAAACAATGTAATGACCGTTCGATCGCACCTCTCTACATATATATATATATATACCAATCTGAAACTCTGTCCCCATTCACGGTAAAAGAAGTTATTGAAAGAGATTCCCCTTGTTGGAGCGCCTGCTCGAATCAGAGTCGTGTATTATGATAGCAACGGCATGGAAAACATACGTTTTAGTAGAAAATATATACATTTGTGCTTTATTTGTATTTTCTTCTCCTGAAATGTATCTCTGAAACAGTTAGCAAGAGCGTCCCAAGCGGAAACATACGGTTACCAAAGTCCCAAGGACAGGTTTTCGTCATCACTAGCCTATATTAAAGAATGCTTGGAGCTCTACTTTAGACAAGTTTAAATTTTTAATATGATATTCGTGTTTTGGCCGGTTTGTCTGTATTTTATAAAAATCAAGGGTTGGTACAATGTAGTCAGAACATAAACCTTTTCCATTTCGAACAGCCCGGGCCATACATCGCTCCATGACTGATTCGCTACCAACGCTTGAGCAGCATAGGATTCATAACTTATCCCACCGTGGGTTCGACAAGCACACGATCGATTGAATTTATTCATCGATCGGTTGGATGGTTCAGCTGCAGCAAGAGACGGGTTTTCATCTCATTCAATGCCCCCAAATCCTTTATTCTTTCGATTATCACTCTCCTTTGACTGCACCCAACTGCGTTCCACAAACCGTGTGTATCTTCTTGAATTGCCTACAACATATTTGTGCTGGCTCCCTTTTATACCTCCGCTTGCTCACCGAGCTGTGCTTGATGTCGATGTTTATTCCGCGACAGACGCTTTCTAATCTAAGTTTATTTCATACTGTACTAAGCTCAGTTCCACCATGCCCATGAACATTGCATTGCCTCTTACATGTGGGGATGAAGTTTCGTCTCCCGTTCATTTCCTTTGGGATCGAGTTAAAAGAAACGCCTTCCGGCTGATTGACGATCTTTCCTTAAATTTCAATCTACAGTCACCAGCCGATCGCCGGAGAGCTGCTTCGCTGTTCCTTTTCCACCTTAACTGTTTTACTTTGCCTGTTCGGAGCTTACGTCAAACGTCCCCGTCTCCGTAACTACGCACCCTCAAACGCGTACCCAAACCCCTAATCACGGTCCAGTGACCGGAATCGGTACTTCTCCATTCAATCTTATCCCCGGAACGACCAAGTCGTCAAACACTCGCTCTGCCTTTCCATCGATTTTAAAATGTTTCACTCTATAAACGGGACCCTTACTGAATTTTAGCTTTCTCTTCATTTTGCGAAATACCTTATAACTATGGCGAGTTCCCCTCTTACAGTAATTGAAATTCTGTTTAGCAACAAATGCATAACACTGCGTCATAAAGGCCCATCGGTCAATTACTTCAGAAAGAAATGACAGGGTGCGTTGAAGCACACTACCATCGGACTCCTGATTTCAGAGTCTGTTTGTTTCTCATATACACATTGTAGACACGATAAGAATATTTATCCAATCCACGAACTTTCATCAGGCCGGACACATGAATGCACAAGACGGGACGGAATATACTCTACTTGGACGAATAAAAGGAGCTATATTTTGCAAACAACCGAGGATTGTTTCGCGGATATGTTCTCATACCCAATCAACTATCATATATTCATATATTTTGCATGCTTGTTTGTTATTGTGGGTAACAATGACCTTCGTTCCTCCACCCCTTTCTCCGTGTGCGACTGTAGAAATTGACATATGTCGTTGTTCCATCCCATTCACTCAGCGAACTAACCACATATATCACATATATCACACATATGACTAAAGACGCCCGAAAACGAAGTCGCGAAAACAAGCTTGTCCGCTATATTGCCTTTGATATTCGATCTCAATCGTCGGATGTAAGTTGAACTTGACCTGAATGGGTGATTTCGAAGGAAAATCTACAAACTATTTGCATGTGCAAGATAGAAGCACAACTCATGGAATTCGTGACATATATCTGAGACGGAAAACACTTCCATCGCCCGTTTGTCCTTTAACTAAAGGTTGACAATCCTTGCATTGAGTGGTGGTCATCCAGACATCGACAAGATTCCTGATGGGGTCCAACGAACAACTTGACCGATTGGAAATAATGTGCAATGATTGTTCCTCGGGAAAGTCTCACTGATGACGCTGCCTAGCCTGGCTACGAAACGTCTGCGAACAATGCCTCCAGCTCGGAGAACGGACCCACATCAACAATTTGACTGATGGCTTGGAACGATAACCAGGGGTCTTGAGTTGAGCAGGTGCTACTTTCCGTAATCGGATAATGATAAAAGTTAACGTAACGGCGCGTACCAGAATTCTAACCGGATTAGCCACGAGAATTCTCGTGATCATAACTACGACCATTACAACACTAAAACTAAAAAGACGTTCGTTAGGGTGCTTGAATTCGGTCGAAGGTTTTAGTAAGGCCTTTCGCGGTAGCCGCTTCATCATATTTCAACTAGACCCTTCTTCTTCAGTGGTGAAAAGCTGCCAAAGTTGTTTGCTCGGTTGAAGTGCATGTGAAATGCATGGAACAAACCCAATGAAAACAAAGTGCGACCATCTGAGGTCATTTACCATGGCTTATCAGGTAATCTGACCACAGAAATAACCCATTGCTCCACTGCAATACATCAAACGAAACATCACTTGGAATATTCCCACGTGCAAACCAATAACGGAAAGCAAACGGAAGTTGATTCTGCGTATCAGAAAATTAGCACAAAAATTGCAAGAACTGACTTGCACACAAAGCATTATTGTTGACAAAACGTGCGGACCACAGCACTAAGAAATATCGTAAAAAATACTGTTCAATAGAGGTATCCCTTTCATGGGGTCTCGTCAAACCGACAGTTATACTTCTGTTACAGCTTTGTGGATACTCTGAACACAAAACACAGCACATTAACCTCGAGGAATACCAAATGGGAAACTGGGGTTTGTGTATTATTCGTTCATTTGTGATTGAGTAGTTTTACCCCAAAGCGAATGTGGACTTGACTGATGCACAACAACTCAAAGGTCCGAGTTCAGAGTTAGACAGCTGAGAAGTTCAGTGATCGGATCATAACGTAACATCAAGCAACAACCGTACTTCAATCGAAGCGCATTTCTCAGTTCTTCTTTCATTTGAACGAATGGGAGACTGTAACGTGTGATCAATCCACCTAAATTGTTCCGGTTCAGTAGACGGGCGAGATTTGCAATATGGTTTTCAAACCACATAGATGAATCACTCTTCATTAAACCTCGAACGTATTTTAAAAGCATCTGTTTGCCATTCATCTGAGGAAGACTTCGCATACCAGAGTAAACCCGACGAACTATACGCCGTTTGGTTTCATAAGAACATTGACATCTTTTCGACTGTGGACTGCGTCTAGATCGCATTTCGAGCAGCGAAAACGGACGGAAGCAGCGTGAACAGGTCATATCCCATGGGAAATCTGGTCCATGTTGACCATCTTTGCACGCCTGACAGGAGCATTCAAATTGGTAAATATACTTAAGTGGCTGATGTCGATCCAGTAGCGAATGTGTGGCATAATGCACAGAGTACGATATCGATAATGCGTTCCCTTTGGCGATATGTTCCGTCGCAAACAGACCACAGTAGCCGTCGCGCATGAAAACCAGTGCACAATTGGGATCACAGGAATGGTTGATGAGCGACATTGTAGGATATACGGCATAGCCCAGAAAGGATGTGTTATCTCGAAAGATCACTTTGTTTTCATCCACAACAAATCCGAAACCGTGCGACGCGTCACGAACGGAAAGTACTCTACATTCCTTCAGCATACCATTCAACTGCAAACTTTGCAGGTGATACAAAATACACGCGGCAGCCCATGAAGCTGGCAAGGGAGAATTGGGAGTAATTTTCTGGTAATTCCTTGGATCTTGAAGGCAATCCGGTTCTGACCAAACCAACGGGTACCCTCCATCCTAAGAACAGATAAACGCGAAATAAGGGATAAGTGAAAGTTCACATCCGGAGATAGAGTGGAGAGGGAGAGTAAATCCTGCGAAACAAGTTGACGGATTGGTTACGAGCGTTCTAGTCATTGTAACAGAAATTCCAATGACACAGATATAATCGATTGATGAATCTCATGTTTGTAAGATGTGATGGAAAAACTATTATCCCCGAAACTGTTAAAAGACAATCCCTTCAACTAGCAGTCGCTTCCACGCTATATCTCACCATGCATCGTTCCTTAGCTTACTCCGGTCATTGATTTCCCGACACATATCAGAAACACAGTTTGTGGAACGTACGTGAACCAACCCCGTCCATAGCACATACACTTCGTGGGAAAAGAAATCTCTCGTGTCATTCCCTTTTAGTGCTAATGTTGAAACGATAATTGTTTGCTCTCCTTTCTGGAGTCAACGCTTAACAATAGATCGTGACAAACAGAACTCGGATTTTGATAGGAGGACGTATGGATTCGAAAGTAATGTGCAAAATGAAAATCAGAAACACTGGTACAAGTGATTAGATAAACATACGGGATCAGGCCGAAAATATTCAGATGGTATGTAGGGTTCATCAAAAACGTTCACGTTATGTGAATATACTGAGCAGTTGCTTGTGAAAGTTGCCTTATGGAATTATAGGACACTATCAGGAGGTCAACAATTGCGATGAGAATAGAGACTGCTTTTGTTCAGCTTCGAGAAAGTGAATACCGACAAAGAACTTACCGATAAACAATGAGTAAGAAATACGGCTGCCACAGTGCACTGCCACAAATCATGTGGACTGCGTTCTGCCGAGTTTGTTTCTAACCAAGCGATCGAACGGTAATCCTCAGCATCTATTCCGTCCTTCGGCAGCACACGATAACCGGAGAACGCTGATAATGGTGAACCAGTTTTGCCAGAATCCATGGAATTCTGTGCGGGGGAGAGATACAAGGGGGATAAATTGAAGCAAGACGGATAAGGTACAGCAGTATCTATGCCGGCGATGAAAGCGCTTCATCTACCATGACAGAAAACAGTTCATCGGCAATAGAACTGGTGCACATTTTTAAGAATAAACACGGCAATCAGACGAATATAGAAACGCTTGGTGTTGAAACATTGCTCAAATAACTGAGTTGAGCGGTAACGGTTACATGAAATCAGGAAAAATGGGTTGGCAATGACGAAAGTAATGCAGCGATTTGAAAGTAGGGATGGAATGTAGACACCAGTTGACATGGTGGAAACTGGTGTACCACCAATACCTTTTGGCTAACAATGGTCACTCTACAAGAGGGTAATTATAAGGACCACAGTGGACCTAATTGTCCTTACGCTTCGCAAATTGATTAGATTTATGCTGTCAACCTAGTGTTTAGTGTATAAACGAACTCAACAATACTTCACTGCACCAAGGTAGTTGTCATTAAAAGTTGGAACGGCCTTTCCAGGTAATAGGCCTTCGTGATGCAGATGCTATAGTCATCATTATCTCCAAAAAATTATTGCATTATTCGCAGTTGACGGATGTCAGGATCCGGAAACACAATTAAAATCGGGACACTAAAATGAACTGAAAATCGTCTACTGAGACGTCCGAACACCGAGACGTAGATATGAGGCCACAGAAGTTCCGATTTTGGAGTACGAGAATTCCATGTGATCGAATGATGTGTATAGAAGGATACCATTGGTTGAATGGCGTTCACAAATTTCATTTCATTTTCTTCTGGACTAGGTGGATTGCGATCGGTCCAGAACACCGCCTCCTTACTGAGGCACATAAAGCGGTATTCTTTCAATCTTTTCCTAGTGATGCCATGGAGCAATACATAAACACACATCACTTCATGCATCGCAACTGTTCCTCTTCTCCAATCACTGGAAGTCTATTTCCTTCAATTTCAGATGACGGAGCTCCTCCAACCGATTCGATTTACCACTATTATGGAGAAATTATTCCATATCCGTTCTGATGAATTTCTGACGACAAATAGAGATACTCTGTCTAACTGAAAAAAGCAAGCCAGTTTAATCTAACATTTGAAACAGGAGTTTGAGTTATTCAGCATTTACTTGGTGAATACCGCACCTTTAGGTAAGGAATGTAACGTTACTAAATTGTACTTGGATTTTAGCGCACTATGTGGATGGTGTTTCTCACACTTGTACGCCTGATGTATGATTTCCTGTCTAAACGGTATGTAGTTGTAAATTTAACGTTGCTGAAATGATTAGCAAGTCGTTCTTGTGAATAGCAATTGCGTTGGAACGTACCTGTGCCAAATCGCCAATTATCCAGGGAGGCGTGCTAGCCACACACGCGTATGCCAACATTGCATCTTGAGAGTCACCAACAGAGTTCAATTCGGGGAACAGGATTAAGCGACAGGAGTAACCACGCACAACTTCTGAATTTGTATATCTACCTTGACGCAGCGTTTTCCAATTGGCATAGTCTTCTAGAGACAACCGCTCCAGTTGTCCACATACAAGCGAATGAGGCATCCTATTCCCACTCACGGTGGCCGTGGATGCCGATTCTTCCGGTTTCACCCATGACGTCGCCCATGAAGCTTGTTCGCACTCCTCAGAACAAAACACGACCTTGAAAGACGGAAATTAGTCGATACGAGAAGAGATTAAACATGAAATATTGGCTGCACCTCATTGGAAGTGTTTTTCAGTATATCATAGTAATGCACGTGTGACAGATTTGGAATCTATCAAAGTCTACAATTAACCAAGGATTGTTTTCCTCACCTCGTCATTTAATCGTTATACTTTGATTAGCTTGCTCCCTCCCTCAGTTAGTTTGCATATATTAAGACATACACATCACACCACATTCATAATTTAAAGTCTAATTGAAAATCAACATTTGAAATGACATTCACAGGTTAGTTTCACGAAAGCCGTGTCAACTGTGAACATGTGTGGCAAGACCTAAAACTTCATGGTATCCACAAAACAATGGGTCCTCATTTGTAATTTGTTCAACTCACCTCGGAGCATGATCGACATGGAAC